GATGGCTCCTGTGCAGAGAGTAATGACTCCCCCTTCCAGTCATCGATACATGATACTTCAGAAAGAATGTACAAGAAACTATGAAGGACTTCAGACAGCTCTATTTGCTAATACCATTCATGATTAGTTCACATACTGCCTTCCTACTTCTCAATCCCAAGGTTCACCCGGATGTTCACCCTAATTTTCCTTCCTGTTTTGCTTTTGATGTGGATTAATATGAATAAAACATTTGAGAAACACTCATTTAGAGCAAGAGCTGAATGTCTGTTTTTTAAATGATATCTTGGCTTAAAGACAGAAAAGCAATCATTTTTTTTTTGCCCTAATAACTAAAAGTGGTGTCAAGCAAAGCAGATGTCAAGAAGAGTGCTTGTACAGCACTAAGCACCTCACAGTGCAGGATGACTCAAAGCACAGGTCAAGATGCCTCTGGTCTGACCAACACTGATCAAAGGAGTTCCAAGAAAATACATTTCTTCTTTTTTACATTAATGAATTATATTTTCAACTGAAAAATTAATGAGCACACATAGTAAAATTCTCCCAAATTTAAAATGGTGAGTACTCAGTCCCCTTCTACCTCAGATTTCAAACTTGTAGCCACTTCTTCCTCAAAGCTAGCAACTTTTACCATCACCTTGAGTGCACATGCAGAAAGATGCTTTTGAGTGAAATATATTTATGTATGTACAGTCTTTGCATATTTTTCCATAACTGCGAACATTGTGCCTTAACTTCCCCACTTAAAAATACACCTTGACTAAATCAATAATGATGGAGCCATTCAACAGAATCATTTTCTGCTGTAAGAAAGATGAAAATGCAGACACATTAGAAAATAACCAAAAGGTTAAACTTAGAGCTACCATTTGTCCCAGCAATTCCACTACTAGGAATGTACCCAGAAGAAAGAAAAATTGAACATACAAACACTTTTGCATAAATGTTCACTGTGGCACAATTTGAAATAGCCAAAAAGTGAAACAACACAAATATCTATCAACGGATGAATAAATAAAATGTGGTATAGTCATACAATGGAATATTATTTGGACCTAAAAAATGAAATCTGATATGTGCTACAACATGAATGAACCTTGAAAATATTATACTAAGTGAAAGAAGCAAGTCGCAAAAGACCACATATTATATGATTCAATTTATAAGAAACATTCAGAATAGGCAAATTACAGAGGAAGAAAAAAAAAGGTAGAGTAGTTGTTGCCTAGGGCTGTGGAGTGCAGGAGGGGCAGGGGATATAGAGCAGGTAATGGGGGAATTGGAGGGTCATAATTATAGGGCAAGGGGTTTCTTATAGTGGTAGGAAAATCTTCTAAATTAAATTTGGTGATGGTTGCAAAACTGTGTGAATATACTAAAAATCACTAAATTATACACCCTCTATAGATGAAGAGTATGATATGTGAGTTATATCTCCATAAAGTTCTTCCAAAACAACACAAGAAGCCTCTCTATGTATTGACACACTGTCAAGTGCAAAACACAAGCCGCAGAACAATGAATGTGAAGATTATACTTCTTCTCTGTAAAAACGGAGGAAGAGAATAGAATTTATATTTTCATTGCACTTACATAAACTCTAAAGGTATATACAGAGAAACTAATGAAAGTGGATACATGGGAGTGTGCATGCCATCTTTTCAAAGTATAGCAATAATAACAATAGTAAGCATCATCTGGAGAGAGTGCCACAGCCATACCAGCACTTGAAAGATCTTCCTCATAGATGCACAGTATTGTTTTATAGTTGTGCGTCAGTCGTTCAATCAGTCATGTACTGATTGACAATTAGGCTCTCTCCAACGTTCTGTTACAAAAACTGCAGCAGAACATTTTGGACATACATTTTGCACCTTTACACAAGTACGTAGAGTAAATGTTAAAAAGTGAAGTTGCGAGAAAATAGATAAGAAATCGTTAAAGTAATGTAACTACAGAATATCCCTTAAATTTGTTGACTAGTAGCTTCAAACCCCAGTAGGATTTTATTGCAATTACTGAGCAAAATACACTTGTTTTCTGACAAGAATAAATGAAAACCTAGGATTTCCCCATTCTTTGTAGTTACAGCATTAAAAAATAAGCACAATAAGTTCCTTTTAAGAGAAAAGTCAGACAAAAATCAAATGGTCTATTCTATGTAAGCTCTGGAAGTTAAGAAAGAGAAGCTTCCTTTTAATAGGCATGAATTTATTTGAATTCATTATGTGGCTTCTCGAATGTGGTGCAGATTTAAAATGACCTTTCAGCCTCAAAGGAGGAGTCTCAGAGCAAAAGGATGAAGAGAATCTGTTTCAATTAAGATAAACATCAACTACCAAGACCCAATTACACCGTTTGAATTTGAAGAAGGCAAAACTGTTGTCAAAAATATTGGAAAGCATCAAGGACAGCAATAAACTTGGTAAAATTTAATTGCATCGTGTTTTGATGTTATTACTGAGTGTTCATGGAAGACAGGGCTATGTTTGGATGCATTCCTCCCTTTCCTTCCCTCCACTCTCCCTGGCTCATTTTGGAGTTGTTTTTGAGTGATTCTATTTAGCTGCATTGGCGTCTTTACTTAAATGGACATATCTGTGCAGAGAAAACCCTGTTATTCACTATGGCCAAAGAATGGTAGATATTAACTAACAGCTGTGTGAATATAGTAAAAATCAATAAATTATATACCCTCTATAGATGAAAAGTATGGCATGTGAGTTACATCTCAGTAAAGTTCTTCCATAACAACACAAGAAGCTTCTCTATGAATTAACATACTGTCAAGTGCAAAATACAAACTGCAGAACAATGAATATGCAGATTATGCTTTATTTTGTATGAAAAGGGAGGATGAGCACAGAATAATAGAGTGATACATACATCTTTAATGCATTGTGATACTGAAATAATTACAATGCAATACATTTCATACTAAAGTCTTATTTTAGTTACTTTTGGTTGTTATTGTTGCTTTTGTCATTATTTTGCTGTTTTATGATCCAAAAGATACTTGAGAACTAGAATACATGAGGAAAATGTGGCAATGATCTGTGATGGGTTTCAGTTCATACAGGCCAAAGTGTGTTTGCTGTTTGAAGCTGATGGAACCCATTCATAAACTCCTTAAGGCTGGCCAGAAAAAAGAACACCACATACATCCTGAGCAGTCTTGCCACTAAGAATATCAGTACCTGGCCTTTGACATGTGTGGCTGCCATGCGCATCCCTACTCCAGTGTGGGGAGCAGTGGCTTACATCAACCATGTCATTGAGTCCAGCAGGCACATCCTAGTATCAGCTGAAGGCCAACATTACATTCTTTGGGAAAACTATTCCAACCATTTGGTAGAATTGTTGTTGTTTTATACACCTGTATCTACTATTCAGTTACATTTTAAACTCAAATCACAAGTAAATTTAACTCATAGAGGCATTAGAACATGGAAATATATGCACTTATGGCAACAGAGAATTCAGTGTGGGTTGCCTGATATGTGACTTGCTACCTAAAGTCAAGGTGAGATCTTACACCTAATAAAAATGCTCTTGAAGTTTAGCAAGTCAAAAACTCTTGGGATCATCTTAAACTTTGTGTAAAGAGGAGAGATTTACAGCAGCAGAGTATTTTTCAAGGGCACTTTTATTTTGGAAGGCTTTCCTTCTTTCCTATGTGAAGTCCACTCTCTTTGACCTCAGCTCACCAAGGTCCCTGGGAAGACAGGCTAGCAATACAAATCAGCTCAGATATATACAGAAAACACTCCAGTCAAAGACAAACACTGGGGACTGGTAGGTGGGAAACCCATCATTTCATGAAGTCCAACTTTTCCCTGGAAATCTATACATGAGTGCCATATAAATGTAAGTTCTTAAGACAGTAATCTCACTTCCTTTTTAAGTGATTTAAAAAGATAGCCTTTCTGCTCCTCATATCTGCTGGATATTCAAGGCCTTTGTACCTGCTATAATCTTCTCCCCACTGTTTGTTTGACTGGTTCTTTCAGTTCTCAACGTCCTTGACCACTCCAACTAAAGTACATCTCTAGGATACACAGATGCACAGAGACACACAGACAGACACACACCCATACACAAACATACATAAACAGATTGTTTAACTCGGTCCCCCTATGTTCTCTTCACTGCACTTAAAACACAGTTAGGAATAATTTTATTTAGTGAATTTGTTTTGCTTGGTGAGCTCCAGAAAGGGAGGGAGGCACCATTGCATCTCTAGATCTTAGCACCAAAAGGAGATAAAATGTGTATTTTTTCTATATAGAAACTACCCTAAATAAAACTGTAGAAAGTTATTCTACATAAAAATCTTGTTGTTGAACTATTTATATATAAATGTATACATAGATCTTTTATCTTCTTGTACCATCATTGTGGGCTACTATTAAAATATAATTTACATATATCTAAGAACTGACATACTTCTAGTTGTATCAGTTAGAAACATATATCATATATGATATACATCATATAGATAATATATATCACATAATCATATATCATATATAGGTGTATATATATCAATTAGAAATATCAGTTAGATACTTCAGTTTAGAAATAGTATATTTCTAAATAACATACTATTTAGAATATAATATATATATGTTTTAGGAAGACTACGTCAAAGAAGTTTCAAGGCCAGATTTAGTTAGAAGTGATATTGATTCTTTTCTATATTCATGTGACTTTAACAGAATAATACATTTAGTTTAAACCCAGATTCATACTTTTATTTCCAAATTAAATAAAAATTATTTTATCTAGAACTGTTCTGACACTTTCAGTAACTTTCCATTATCATTTCACTTGTGAACGATCATATACATGTCATATCACATACCGTTTTGTAAATGGTTACAATTCTTACATTCTCAAATAGTAACTTGTTTCATGACAACCACAAAAACACAAACATAAATAAGAAAATATTAATGGGGGTTTTTCCCTTCTAATAACAAACTGGCTAACATTTCTTGGTGTGCTATGTCCCTAGCACCACTTCAAGCACTTGGCACGCTTTATTCTGTTTAACATTCACAGAAACCCCATGCGTAGCTGTTCCCCTTGTCCAGAGTCACCCAGCATGTAAAAGGAGACTAGTTTCAAATTCGTTTGACTTCAGACTCCATCCCCATCTCTCCAGTATATATTGTTGGCAATTCCAAACTGCCCTGGAATTTTAATAGCTCAGCTCTATGTTTTCCTAGGTCTAACAAAATAGAAATACTTTGAATGAAGTTAAGCACATAAGGTCTGACTTCAAAATGATACCATGGTTTAAAACTAGCCATTAACTTACATGGACCAAAAAGGAATATTTATAAAGCCATCCAGAACATGGCCATCTGGCCTACTCCTGATGTAAGAAGCTGAAACATGCTTCTAAAAACTAAGGGCTTTTTACTTCTTTCTTTAGAATTGTTAAAAGTTTCTTGGATAACAGAGAAAAAAAATAACCTACTTTCTCTTGAGGATTCAAGAGTAACTATTTTTCATGTAGCATTAATGTTCTGTCTACCCACCACCAACAAGCATTAAAAACAATGGTTAGACAGAGTCCCTCCTCAAACCTCTCATAAGTAACCAGAAATATCCTAAGGAACCAATTATTTTCTATTACTCCTGTTAGTCAGAATTCACATATTGCAAAGAATAATTTCTTCTCTACATCAATCTGAATAAATTTATTCAGGATGTTATTATACTAAATCAGAAATTGTAAGGATTATGACTAAACAAGGTTTCATGAACTTAGCATTTTTTCTCTCAAACTTTATAGAATTTCACAAATTCCAGCACGAGTTGATACACAAAGCATTCCCTTTTCTATTTTCTGACTACTTGAATCTACCCTGTCTTAGCCAAAAAATTAACTATCACATCTGTTTTTTAATTGTTCAAATGTTTATTTTAATGCACGGTATGAGAAATGAACTTTTCGACCAACTGATTTGTATGGAAAGTTACAAGGCAAATAAATTAGGCCCATGTTAAAAGAGAAGGTCAGCTAAATATCCAAACTTAAGGATATAATGGGCACCGATAAACAGATTCCATGGTCTTCTTTAAGAGGCTATCTTTCAAATACAACTTTGCTAGAAACTGGTCCAGAGATCAACCGCACATGGGAATGCTTAACACAGGTGGTGATCAGGGACAAGCTTCCTGGGTGCCACTTTGATGATGTTGTCCACATGTAGAATCACCTCTGCTGCTTCAGCTGCACTTAGAAGAACTTGTTGCTTTACTTGAAAACTTTCTGTTATACCCAGGAAAGCCATATCTCCAATGGGGCCTTCCCTCCTATCCAGTCCAGCAGTGGTGTTGCCTTCATGGTGAGCAGCTCTGAGCTGTGCCACTAGGTCTGCACTGTCATAGCCTGCATTGTCAGCTATGATGTTTGGCAACATTCTCAGTGCTTTAGCATAAGACTCCACTGCAACAGCTTCTTTGCCTGGTGTTCTATTAGCAAGCTGTGTCACAGCATGAGCCATCAACATCTCTGAAAAGCCTACTCCATAAACTGTTCTAGAGTCCTTTACAGTTTGTGCAAGAACACAAACAGCATCATGCAAAGATCTTTCTGCTTCATCTAAAATTTGTTGAGTGGCACCATGAAAACAATGGTATAAGCCTCACCAAGGGCAACCCCAGAAAAGTGAATAAGTTTGTCTTCTCCAATCATGACTTCCTTGATAAGTTTGCAGCTTCCAAGCTTCACCAGTTCTGGGTGATCAAAGGTAGAGGCAATTTCACCACCCATGACAAGAACTAGGTGTTCCACACGTGCAAAATCTGCATGCTCAATAGCCATGACACCAGCAGCGCCAAAGAGCTGTTCAAGATAATTATAAATTAACTGCCTGTTAATAAAGCAATTTATTCCATGCTTAAGAATACATTCAACTTTCTCCTTCATTTTTTCCTTTTCCACATGTTCTATTTCTGTAATCTTTGCTGTAGAACCAACTCTTCCTAGGAACCAAATATCTTTATTTTGTCTGTATCCATACAGAAAAAATTGTCTGCAATAAGAATTTTAGCATTTTTCAACTCATTTTGGTTGATTCACTCCAATTTTTTTATCCAACAGAAAGTCTTCATCTAAACAATCTGCCAAACTTCCTCCTAGCTTCTTAATAATGAATTGCCTCCAAGTTGCCAGAGCCTTTTAGTCTGAGAACCACTTCTATAGCTAACGTAGTAAAGCGGTCTTGGTGATGAGTAAGAAGTTTTGAGGATAATGTCATGCCGGCAACATTCGTTAAATCTTGGCAGAATTTAACTTCATCAGAACTGTGATCGACTGTGGAACTCAACAGAGCCTCTCTTGCAGCCTTTGTGGCTTCTCTCCAACCCGCTATGATAGTCTGTGGATGAATCTTTTTTGTAATTAAAGATTCTGCTTCCCTTAATAATTCTGCTGCCACAACGGTAACAGAAGTAGTGCCATCACTAACTTCATCATCTTGAACTCTTGACATATCAACTAAAACTTTAGCTGCTGGATTGTTGACACCAATGTTTTTTAGAATAGTGGCACCTTTATTGGTTACCATAAGAGAGGCATCTCGTCTACTGCTTAGAAGAATTTTGTCCATGCCTTTGGGTCCCAAGGTGCTCTTTATCAAGTCTCTTTCAAAGACTGTCCTGAAAGTCTTTGTTTCTTTTTCTCCCCAAGTTGGTTCCCATTCTGAATTTGGACACTAATGGACATAGAAATCAAAGAAGACTTTAAAGCAACTATGTATTCAGAAACATTTCAGAAGACACGAAGGTTTTCATCTGGTATTCAATTAAGACTTGCCTTGAAAGCTGGGACTTCTTTATGTGAATTTGAAATTTACAGGGTACATCACATCTATGCTATATTTAGGAAGCAACTGAGTGAAGATGAAATGCCTAAAGCAATCGGCACCAAGGGAATTTGGTACTTTAAACATTTTGGAAAGCCCAAGATTGCATGTGTAGTTACGTGTCCTATATTCTTTCTCTAGTTCATGTACACATGTAGCACACAAATAGCATGAATTATAAAAGCAAATAAATGTGTTTGGTACTTTGAACAAATTATCCATCTTATTGAAATAAATTCACTGAAACTTTTCTTTGTGTATTAAAAATTCAGACAATTTTTTGACTATTAAGAAATAACCCATGAGAAATAGGAAAGAATAAACTTCTGTGCTTTATTCAGGAAATTACTAATAATTTATAGGAAAGTCAAATCGCCAACATAGCAGAAACACTGAAAAACAAAACCGAACAGAGCTTCTGAAAAGCTTATTACTTAAGAAGGGATGACCAAGCATATAAAGCTCAGAGAAGGGAGAGGTTCAAGTTAGAAATTAATTTAAAATTCAATTAAAATCTTACAAGCAAGGATTATAAAGCTAATAAACAAAATCTTATAGTTTTTCCTGATTACTGGCTAAAGTGCATAAAAATCATTTATGGAATTTCCCATAATATGCACCAAAAAAGCAGAGGATAGTAAGTGGGATGCGTTTTAAAGTCAGACTAAGTTCAAAACTAGCCATATAGAACTGGAGCTGTTGTAACTGCACACAAATGCGATAGTTGCCCAGATGTAGGACTGGCAGTCATAGAATAACGTGGTTCATTGTGAAAATCCAATAATAATTTGATATTTTGTTGTAAACAGGGTTTTCCATTGTTGCCTGGTGCCCTTGTATGACACTTGTAATCTTTAAGGGCAAGCCCTTTAACTAAGCTACAGTAGGACATAAATATCATTTCCTTCAGATTTCCTGCATTGAATCTGGTTTCTGACAGTCCTTTCAAAAGTTTCTGTTAGATCCCTATTTGAGGGAATGGCCTTACTTAGATTAATGCAGTTATAGCCACGGATTATGCATGGTAATAAAGGAATGTAACCGTTTTCAACTATGGAAATAGTAAAATGAGTTTATTTAGAGAGGTGACAAGCTAGTAGCTGTTATTTGTTGAAAGAAAAAGTTTATTTCTCTTATTAGTGAACTAGAGCCTCAAGCATTTAAAAATTATTTTAACTAGGGCCTATAAAAATAAAGGTCTCCTGAGGATTATCTGTAAAGACAGATTTTGGCAACAAGTAAACTAATGCCTTATATTCATTTTATGAGTTAATTTTGTGTAAAATTCTCTTTTTTCCAATTATTTTTTCCTGATGTACCCTTTATGTGCTCCCTTTCTACAGAAAGATTAAAATGTCCTACTCTATATATTTTATCTTTGAAAAATCAAAGACTAAATTCATCTAAATTAGAAAGAAGTCTGTTGGTTTTAAAATTTATTTAAATAAAAATAAATTCAAATATTTAACTTGGCTGACAGAGTCTTGTTAGGAGGTGATTAAATAAACAATTTACTTAGAATAAAAATATCTTTTATTAAAATGGCATGGATTTCCAGGCCAGTAAGAAAAGAAAATATCTCTCTAACCCAGGAAAAGTATTTTGGTCTAAAAATCAAATATTCCAGATTTATTTTATATTACTCCACCCCAATTTCAAGTAGGGAGGTTTTAAAATTATGTTGTTTACCACAGGATTTCTGGAGGCAACTGAAACACTTCTTACCTATAAATGTACACTCCTACCATGAAAGTAAAAAATATCATTCCAATGATATAGTATTAGGTAAAACTAGAAGTCCCCTGCTCTATAGGAATAGTTTACAAAGTCACTAGACCATAAATTTCATAAAGGTGAGGGCTATATATTTCATCATTGTCTCTCTAACAGCCAGCAGGATGCCTGGAGCAGAACCAGGTTAATAAACTGAAGTTATTAAAATGAAGTAATGCACCTTTACTTTTACAACTAATAGACCTACAGAAATAAAACTTTTCTTTAAGGAGTATATATTTTAAGCTATAGAATTACTAAATGATCGAGTGGCTAGAAAATATTTCTGTAAAATACTAAAACGAATTACTTCCTCTATTATTAAGGATTAAGACTTAATTTCTTCTTTTTTTTAAACCTTAATTTCTTGCCATCCCAATATTTAAGTCTGGGAGTGTGGTAAAGCTAAAAGCTGACTTCACAATGGGAAAAGGTCACAATACAAGCAGGTAAGCCAACCCTAAGTTGTTCCCTGACTTTAAAGGCTGAGGGTCAATCCCCAAGTTAGGGTTCTAGGACAAGCTTGTCACTTTGGTTCAGCATCCCTGCTGTGGAATCTGCTTGGGTGTGACAACTGTGTTGTGTTTCAAGATGCACGCAATGAGGTTAGAGTGAGCCTGAAGTGGTAGTCTCAGTACTTACCACCAACAGATTTCTTGGCTTCACATAAAAATCACCCATTGAGAGTCAGAAGGTCAACATATCAGTTGGGTGATTACCATGTGAAACACACATAGCATTTTTGTATGCAGTATTCATTACTAGTTGATGACACTGAGAAGAGTCACTCGAGCAATCAGAACATATAGAGGAAAACTTGGAAGTCTATATTTTAGAATGGGAAACACGGGAGGCAATGAGATCAGAATTGCCAGTGTAGGTGGTAAATGAGATCACGGGTGTACTGAGATCAGAATTGCCAGTGGAGGTGGTAAACTAAGGGTGAAAGAAAGCCACAGACAACAGGCAAAAATCTTCCCAGATATTATACAACTCTTTGCCATAAAGAGTATATACTGTGTCTACAACTCACCCAGTACAATCTCCTGAAAAGTGCCATCTACTAAAGAAATATTAAAAATAAAAACTGTAACATTCTTTATAATACAAAACAATTCACTGTTCTACTCTCCAAGCAATGGACAGATGTTGAATGCCCATGATGGAGCAGGCATGGTGCTGGGAACAGGGTTCATTGCTCTAGATGAACAATCACAGTCTATCCTAAAACATGCTCAGAGGAGAGGCAGGTGAGACAGAAGACAATAATGGTAATGTTTCAAGAGTTAGAGAAATGTACAAGGTTTCATGAGAGCATAGAGAAGAGAGTTTTAATTTTAATTGGGAAAGTCTAGGTCCTTCAGAAGAAATGTTCATTGAGAGTGAATCTAAGCAACAGCATTTGGACATTAAATCATACTAAAATAATTGTTAAATGACAACAGCTTAAAATGCTCAAATAGTCATATATACAAAATTATTATTTAAACAGCAAATCTGATTTTTACCCTGAATTTGCATCTCAAACAAAAGTTTGGTTAATTACCTATACTTAAGTGAGAATGAATAAACCACATGCACATTAACAAGGGATCATCTTTCAAACATAATTTTGTAGGAGGGGGTGAGGAAAAGTCAAACACAAAATAGTACATGCTATATTATTCCTTTTATGTAAAATTCAACAGCAGAAAATAAAAAAAATTGTGATTTTCAAAATCAGGATCACTGCTACCTTTGGTAGGTGGGGGCAGTGGCTTAAAGGGGCACAAAGGTGACTTCTGGCTGCTGGTACTACTATTTTTAATCTGGGTGGTGATTACAGAATGAAAATTAGAGTTACTTATTTTTCGTTTTTTTCATCTGCAACATCCAGAAAGTGTTTGTCTGTCTACAGTATTTATATGTTCTTCATAGGTGACAAATAGCCAAAACATGTCAAAACTTATACACACATATTTGTATGCATGCATAAAACCTGTTTCTGTGACAACTTTATTTGCATGCAAATTTAATGGCAAGATTAGATTAGATATATAGAGTTCTGATAAGATCACCAAGGCCATTTAAATGGCAAGTAGCCACTTTATGCCCGTTTTCTCTGGTGGAGATCACCAATGGATCACAGCACGTTTTCTCTCTGAGCTCAGTGTAGCTCTCAGTACATTCTTCCAGGCAGCTACTGCTATTATAACTACAAGTTGCCCATAGATTAAAAAGATTAGGTATCTTGGTTTAAAACAATGAAGACTGTCTAATTCTTTTGATATTTACGTGAAAAAGAACTTGCAATTATGGAGGAATTTCACATATATTTCTAGGTAAGTGTAAAATTTTATTCTTAGGTATGTAAAATGATTTTTTCAATTACAAGAATACCTTTATAAAGATATCTGCTAACATCAGGTTTGCTTTTTTATGTGTGTTTTATTCTACCCTAGAAATTTATTGATTCTTATACTAGTAGACTTTTAACAAAACACAGAAAAGTAATTGGGGCTATTTCTTTTCAAAGCAAAAGACTTAGGGAATCTTTAATGGTTAATTTTTTTTTCCCAAAGTGGTGAACTCCACCACCCTTAATCACAACCCAATGTGCAGTTGTTAATTATAACAAAATAATGGTTTTACATCTTTTCTTTTTCTTTTTTTTTTTTGGCAACTACTCATAATAAAATGGTAGATATCAGAGACTGGACCACTAACTGCCTGCTCTAACGTATTACATTCTTGACATTTCTAGTCCCTATGGCTGTTCGGCTCATCCTAACACTTCAGGTCAGAGGAACAGCCCTAACCAGATCTCAGTTTTTTCCTGCTGTCCTTTAGAAATGATGGAGAAAGCATCTTAAGCCTTTTGTGCCAACCTAGGATGGCAGGAGAAAGAAAAAAGGAGTCCTTCTCAGTCTGGTCTGAAAGGACAGGCTCAGCTCCAGGGAGGTAAGAATCTGTGAATTACACAACCAAGAATGCATCTTAGCACAAGAAGAATAAGGCATTTGGAGAGGTAGAGAATGCCTGGCAGTGTGATTACCATAGGACCGAGCCACAGGGTGGCCCCAAGTAGGAAAGATATGTGGAGAAAGTCCTTTCCTTTCAGATGAAACCCCTGCCTAGGTATGCTTCCCTAGAGGTTTCTCACTGATTCTTACATAACTAAATCCGAGGTGGTTTAGTTCCCAATTGACCACTTCCTATAAGTAGTTTACTTCTTTGATCCACCTAGATAGAGGTGTATCTTTTTTGAATCCCTAATGTGATTTATCTGAATACCTAATTCTATATAAATGCTTAATCCTGACTGCTAAAAAAGACTGCCTTATGGAAAAGAAGCCCTTGCAAAAGGAATCAGCTTTCCCATTTAGAGTTCTTGATTATTTAGAAAGTCATGCCAGTATGTAAACTTGAAAATGCATAATATAAGTTGTCATTTCCTGGTCACTCACAAGGAGCCAGCCTTTTGAGTGCTAAGCATTTTAGGAAGATCAACTCATTTAACGTATTAACATACACATCATGGCTAAAGGTAACATTTTATAATTAAGAAAATATGCAAATCCATGAAGTTATCTTATTTGCCACATAAATTTAGGTAAGTCACTTTACCTCATTAGGTCTCAGTCCCCTCATTTGTAAAATTATGAATAAGACTAATGAGTACTGTATAGAATTCATCATGAGGATCTAATGAGATAATTTGGTCCAGCAGACAGCACAGTGCCTGGTACACCATTAAACAAAAAATAAATACAAATCTACACCATTTTCAATTCAGTTGGGAGGAAAGAAGTGAATTTAAAATTTCAAGATGTGAATTATATCTACTTACTTAGCTATATATTGACATAAGTTTAGGAATTATATTACAGCTCAATACAAATTATAACAGAACTACTTTCACACATTTGCCCGATAGACTAATTTTTAGCTCTCTCTTTCAGTTCAAACTTCATTTTTGAAGTTAAAAAATATATTTCTCAGCCAGGCATGGTGATGTATGCCTGTAGTCCCAGCTACTGGGAACGCTAAGGCAGGAGGATTTCTTGAGGCTAGTTCAAGGCTGTAGTGCATATGATTCCACTTGTGAATAGCCACTGTACTTCAGCCTGGGAAACACAGTGAGACCCTGTCTTAAAATATATAGGTATTCTTCAACAAATCTTTTTACCGTTTAAGCACTGACATTGTTTTTAACAGTGTTTCTTGACCCTACTTGACTGGAAATGTTAAAGACTAGCAAAATGTTTCCAGCTCCACATTGGGGTTAGAAGTGGGGAAAATCAGATTATAGGTTATTCTCTGTGGTCTCTTTTATTTCAAAGACTTTATGGTGCTACTAACTGGTCAAATGCCAGAGAGGAAGAAAACGGTGCAATTTATAGTCTGACCAGAGGAAGAGAGTCAGTAAGCTGAACAAGTCAGGAACTAGCTAGATCTCTAAGGGATGGAGCTGTGCCAAAGTCCATGTTCCATTTCTCGATATATCTCTAAGGACTCATGGTTGGAGGCTTGTATAAAAATCTTGGGGGAAAAGGCAGACAAATACCAAAGGCAAACATGTTCTTGATATACGTAAAATGAAAAGAAGAAATTTCAACAATCTAGGACAGGAAGGAAAGGTGTAAGTAGCAGCCTGTTGACTACTTTTCTAATACCATGAAGCACAACCAGGTGTGGCCAAAGCAGTTTAGACAGAAAAGCAAACAAAACAATAAGAACAACAACAACAACAACAACAACAGCAACAACAACAAATATGGGATATAGATTCGACAGACCAGGATTTTTCTGCAGCACTATAATTTTACAGGCTGTGTGACTTCAGTGTTAATTCATACAGTTGATCTGAAGATGAAATGAGTTCAACTACATAGAGCATTGTCTGTCAAAGAGTAGATGCTCAATATATCGTGGCTATCATCGTTACTAAGGTTATGACTCCAACTATGACTACAGACCTAGGAGCTGCTGTCTCCAGCTAGCTGGTGATCCAGCTGCCAATCAGTTACTTGCTGTTCTATAACAAAGTTGCAGTGTTAGAGCAAAGTCACAGCCAGCAGTGGCCTATCCCATGTTAGAATGCCATTGGTTAAAAGTGGACACATTTTATAGTAATTTATCCTAACTAACACGGTATCAGTCATATAAATTCCTTGACACAAAGAAAAAACTCTATGCTACATCGCAATGGAATGACATCATGAATGTTAGAAATTATTATTTTCTCTTTTCCATATATACATGAATGTCTCATGCAAGTTCATTATAAAAAGCTCAATTTCTCATCTTGGATGTATTTTCAACAAGAAAGAGAATTAGGTACAATGGGAACATTTTTCTCTAAGAAGTCTGAAAACAATTACATACTGAAATTATATTTAATGAAACATTTCTTTTAACAAGTTACACTGGTGCCATCTATTTTACAATTTAGAATGAATATTTTGCAATATGAAATGAAAAAAGACCAAGAAGTCATTCACTAGCAGTTTTCAAAGGCCATAAAGGAGAATTGGTTCATCTATTGATTCATTCTCATTATATCTACTAACAACTAAGAGGAAATGGGTTAAAATTTAAGCAAGGAAGATTTGTATTAGATATAAAGAAAACTTCCTGTGTGGGATGAAAACCTCAGGACTGCTTCCTATAAGGAAGCTTTGGAAGCTGCAATCCTTTCTGTGCATACAGTCTACATCTAGTTTCTAGTTTTCTAATTTCTTGTTTTTCCTCATGTGTAGCAGAGAAATGGAAGGGCTTGCAGCTGACTCCCTTTGTCCTATGGCAGAAATTCTTAGGGCTGAGATCGGTGGGAAAATGTCCTCTACACTGAGTTTCATTAATGGCAGCTTTTGCTCAGAAGTTTTCAATGTCATTAAACAGGGTAGGGTGCTAGATGATAGATGCTTAGTCCAAAGTGGGCTGGAGTTCTTCCACGTCAGTCTCTCCATAATCTCTCTTTTCTTGCCGCACTTCCCCAACTTTTCTCTTGAAATATTCCCTTATGTTTTTCTAACTCTTATTCTGAAGAGCAGTTCAGCCTTCTGTTAGCTTCTCTAATTCATATCCTCAGCTGTCACCCAGGATGTTCCTTAGACAGCCAACCCCCTTAGAAAGCTTAGGATAGATAATAAATAATTACAAGGTTTCCCCTGTCATGCTAAGAAACTGCATCCATAGGTTCTGGCACTCTTCCTACTTTCTATACTTTTGAAATGCTTTCTAATTTAGATCAAACTTGACAAAGAAGTAGGCAATGTGAAAACTGAGACATATCACTGGCACAGGCTCCCATTACTTAGTTACCTGTATACAGTTATATTTAACAGTCTTACCCAGGCTTGCTGTCATCGTGCCCCAGGCAGTACCCCAGCCCTTCCTGTAGGCACCAATCCCTGGAGACATTTGGTGGCTGAAGTGTATATTACTTCTGTCCATTTTCAAATATGCCTTCAACCCCTATATTATCTTTTGAGATATTGGATCACCTCTGGAAAGGCTTCTATGAAAATCTACGTTGATTTTTTTTATTAAGACTATGATTTCTTTGTGACTACCTAGCTGATATCCCTCAGGCCCTATTCTCTTTACATTTATCTAGGCTTTGACAATTCTGTATGTTTAATATTAGTATTATTGGGAATATTTATACATATCCCTGAGCATCTTTTCCTAAAAAAAGTTAAAAATTCCTTAAAGACCTCATTAATATTCTTCCTCTTCAGTTTTATCTTAGAATCTACTTCTCTCAATCGTGCCAGTAACAGTTGGGTGGATCCATGACTAATCATTCCTATACTCATGGTTACCTTCATGTCATCATCCCTTCTGATTCAACATATTTCTCTACATGATTGGAATGATTGACAGGAACTAGTAAGTGGGCTATTTCTTTACATCTGCTAAAAGGCAAGTTTTAGTGATAAGGCCAAAACCATGGTCTGGCCTAGATCCATGGGTAAGAAAAAAAAGAGTTGCAGACCAGGCACAGTGGCTCACGCCTGTAATACCAGCGCTATGGGAGGCCGAGGCAGGCAGATCACAAGGTGGTCAGAAGATCGAGACCATCTTGGCTAACATGTAAAACCCCATCTCTACTAAAAATACAAAAAAATTACCTGGCCATGGTGGCACATGCCTGTAGTCCCAGCTACTTGGGAAGCTGAGGGAGGAGAATAGCTTGAACCCAGGAGGTGAAAGTTGCAGTGAGCCGGGACTATGCCACTGTACTCCAGCCTAGGCAACAGAGCTAGACTCCATCTCAAAAAACAAAACAAAACAAAAACAACAAAGAAAAAACAGAGTTGCAGTCAGGATGAAGTGTTACTGAACACATAACCACAGCCAGTTTTATGAATGTAGGGTCTATAGGGTTCATTGTCACTGAGGAGAGTATACCTTTCTTCACCAGTGATATCACAGAAAAAGAGGGTAGAGAATCCCACTTTGAAATACCTAAAGAAGCATCTTTCTTCTGAAGAAATTAATATCAATTCAGCATTTCTTTTCCAATAACCATGCTCACTTCCTGAATTATCAGCTATGCATTTTACAGTGTTTAATGCATGATGATTTTCTCATTCCAGATAAGCCTAAAATAAATTTGTAAAAAATAAGGTGCTAAATAAAATGAATAGATCTTAACTATTATAATGATAACTCTTCTGTGATATCTCAGAAGTGAAAAATGTTCCATAACTTCAAGGTCTTGTAAGTCAGAGGTATTTGAACTGCTACATTACCTACAAGTTTATTCCAATCCACATAGAGATACAGGATATACAAATGACTCTCCAGTGGGAAGGAAGCACTGCAGAGAGTAAAACTAAGTGATCTTAACAGTCATTAGTTTAGTGGTTTTCAAACAATATTTTCTGGAATCCTAACATCTTTAGAGGTATTTCAAGGACAGGGTTTGTATTTGGAATGTGAGTAAATTTACAAACTCAGTGGCTGTTTTATTGTTTATGTGTGCTTATACTTTTTACTTATATATTTCATACATATCTATGTTTTAAAAAATTATACCTATATATCAAATTTATATATGATTTTACATTTAATTTACAGTATAGATATACATTTATATTTACTTTAACTCACATTTCATTCATAAAAAATGTTTCATTAAAAAACGTGTTTAAAATGCATTGATCTACCTTGCCTCTTTTATTTTACAGGACAGTAGACTTGCCTTCAAAAGGACTAGGTGGCTTCTCCAGGGATACAGAGCATGTTACAGTGAACACATGGCTTTTTCTCAGGCAATCTCTTAATTTATGCCTTTAAAGAGTAAACCTATCTGTGATCCACTCTGTATTTTTCTAGTTATGCTTTAAATATATCAAATATTTCAAGGTACCTTAATCATTTCTAAAAGCTGTGTATCTTTAAGTCTATTTCATAACAGATGTGCTACTATCTTGGGTACTAGGACCAAAAAAAGTTTATCTCATTGTCAAAACTGTGAACCCATTTCAACAGTAGTCACGTACCTAAACCAAATCATAATATTTATTGCACAGGCAGAAAACATGAGAATTCCATTTGTTTGCCTATTTATCAAAATTTCTAAGACAAAAGAAATAGGAAGGAAGATTGTGCACTTTTTTCAAAGCTGATCTAAAACCTCATACAAAAACTGAGATGTAGTACTTTCAACCTGAAGCCTTACAGAGCTTGCAGAGAACAGAAAAATTTGATAATATAATTGGAAAGATAATCTATTCAAAATTGTGAGGCATTGACCTTCTGCTCTTTATTCCCTGTTATGAAGACCACAGGACCTTATTTGCTACCAGTAGAGAATATAATGGCTTTTAAGCTGCAAGTACAGGAGTCTTTCAAAAGCTATTTTTCAACAATCAACAATGTCAATCCTAAATTTCATAGGCTACCATAATTCTGAAAAGACAACTGCCAAATATTGTAATGCATTTAGAAATATTCACTACATGAACAGTATTATAGCCATTAAAAAAGATAATTATATAGACAGTAGAGGAAGGTAATATGCCGAAGTAACAAAGCATGGTCTTTGAGGTAGACAGACTTGGATTACCCCAGCCTATGACCTTGCCCAACTTATTTCGTCTCACAGAATCATTTTCTCAGCTGTAAAATTTGGATTAACAACTCCTTCTTTTCAAAGTTGTAGTAATAAATAAATAATATATTATATGTAAAATTATTGGCAGAGCTCTCATTCATAAAAGACAGTCAATAAAATGAAAGCTGGAAGTATTAAAAAATAGATTTTTTTTTTTTGAGACAGAGCCTTGCCCTGTCACCCAGGCACGTGCAGTGGCATGATCTCAGCTCACTACAACCTCCACCTCCTGGATTCAAGCAATTCTCATGCCTCACCCTCCCAAGAAGCTGGGATTACAGGCATGCACCACCACGCCTGGCTAATTTTTGAAATTTTAGTAGAGACGGGGTTGCGCCATTTTAGCCAGGCTGGTATCAAACTCCTGGCCTCTAGCAATTTGCCTGCCTCAGTCTCCCAAATTGCAGGGATTCTAAGTAGGCATGAGCTATGGTGCCTGGCAAAAAATAGGAAAATATTGATATGCTAAATGAAAAAGCAGAGCACAGAAATAGTATTTACAGCTATTTAAGATATGTAAGGTAAGTTGAAAATGAGAATAACAGGATGGAACAATGGGGTTAATCACTTATTTTCCTTCCAACATATTAATGTTATTCCATCTTTTTTATTCTCAATTATAAAACTGGACATTTTAGCTTATACAAATGCTTTCCACTGTGATCATGAGGCCAAAATAAGAATGCTAAGCCAGGCTAGATTTTTACAACCTTAAGAGAAAAGAGCTAATAAAAAATTATAATCCTCCATTGGTCAGAGCTGCAACATAATTCAGAAAATTGTATCCACCCAGTACCGAAATGCTTATTTGCATATTTTATACCCTGAGCAAATTGTTGTTTAATGGATATACAGATATCTGCATATATAAAAATGAGCTTGCTAATAGTTATATTTTTAATATTTTAAACTTTCATATATAACACTTTATTGATAAAAACAACATACAATATGCAAATACAGTGAAGAAAAGAGAGACAGTCCTCCCTATCTTCACTCCTACCATTTTTTTACTCTTAAAAGGTAACCACTACCAAAAGCTTGGTACAGAGTCTTCCAGAATTTTTTCTACATCTATAAACCTAAGTATTACATGTATACTTATTAAATAATAATACTTATAATGAAAAGTATAAGTATTATTACATATACAATAACCAATTTTAAAATTTGATTTAAAAACAACCACAGTTGTATTTTGAAGAGTAGCATCTCTTTTTTTTCCAGATTACATAATGAATGATCTTACATGTAACACACAAATCCTAAACACTGTTCTGACAGCAGGAAAGAACTTTCATGAAAGTCAACTTTCATGACAAAACTTCTCTTTATATTTATATTTGGAAGACTAATAATGTTTTACTTAAACTAAATCACAAGTCTTAATTATATTAATGAGAAGTATCCCTGGGAAATGTTTATAAATGGTAAAATGTTAAAGAGATATCAAGGAATATGTAAGTTAATATTATTATAGTATATAACCACTGACTCAATCTGAATTTAAGACATGTAAAACTCAAATATTTATGGAAAGGTCACAACATGATTGTTTTGTTATACAGAATTTGGAGGTGGAATACTGTTACTGAAACAACTAAAATAGAAGGCAAACAATTCCACCATCAATGAATTTGCTAATTCTATTAACTTTATGAGAATAAGTATATATATATATATAAAGTTTTTCTCAACTTCATGCATGCACTTTTTTTAAAGAATGCTTATGAATAAATACTATAATCACTTTCTGCTAGAACTGGGCATATAAATAACTGCTCATTAAATAAAAGCAACCTAGTATATACCTTTATTATATAAACTCTAAATGTGTGACACATGTTACAAAGAGACCAATAGATTAATTTGTCTATGTTATTAATGTGTCTGTTACGAAGAGATAAATGGATTAATTTTAAGATTATTTTTATTTTGCCTTGAAATTCATAAAATTTTAATTATAATAAGGTTGACCTTTAATAAGAGGAAGGGCATAAAATACAGGTTTGCCAATAAATCCCATTTAAAAGTGAATATCTCATAGCAATTTAATTAAGGCTGAAAGAACAAGTTAGTATGGACTGCTTTTTATGATACTTGGAGAGAAACAAATAGGAAAAGGTAAAGAAGTAATCCAAAGCATTGAATTCTTGCACAATACAACAAACTTTCAAAGGTAGTGTTTGGCTTTGGGGAATCCCAGAGGACAGTAGACAGATTTGGAAAAGCAGACCAACAGAACACAAAATAAATTTATGTAATCAGAGTGAAGATGGTAAAGCCACAAAGATGGGTCCCAGGAACAAAGTATTTTGAAGATCAACCTGAAAACAAATTAACATCTGAAAAATAGATAAATGGCAAAGTAGTAGGTCTCTCTCATGGGAAGTCAACTGAAAAGGAATGAGGGTAGGGTGATGGTTGGGAAATGTGGACAGGAACACTGGTAAGAAAACATTGTCGCCTGAGCAATTTGAGGCCTGTGGCCTTTATGTACAGAGGCACAGGAAGAGAGACCCTTTCATATTTTTTAATACTCGAGTAAATGTGTGCTTGTGTGTGTGTATATGTATACACACACACAAACATGTATTTTCTCTATATACTAAATCTATAATCTATATTTTTACATATATAACTAAATATAATAGGTATGTATAATATTGAACTGATAAAAGGATACTAAAATGGTAAACTGTAATCACAGCTGATTATACCCTCAGACCACCAAATTATTTGGAAGCTGCAGTGATACACCCAAGTAGTTACATTATTAAGTCAGATGTAAGATTAATAACTGGAGAGATTTCTAAAGTATGCAGTCAAATCCAAGAATCATTCATATATAGAGATTTCTTACACAAAAATCATTCTGTCCCCAACTCTATGCAGAATATTTAAAGTTAAATGGAATGATATACACATTCATAAATCAATATGTTTAAAAATGCATTTTGAATTATGGCCCAACTTATGAAAATATCTCACACAATTTAAAACAATAAAATAGAATAATTATGGATAAAAATAGACAATGAAAATCCAGAGGGGTAAAGGGTGTCAATGTTACTCATCCCCTGAAATGAACAAATTATTTCCAACTGAACCCTGAATTGGAAAATAAGTCTCTTGGCAGTTTAGATAGAAAAAAGAAATAGTTTGGTTAAACACTATTTGTTAAGTATTGTATCATCTTTCCACATAGGAAGGGTATAAATTATAAATGAGTAAAATTCACGTATGTTATAAATTCTGATTACTCATGTTGGTGACTTATATTGGCTATGGTAATTCATAAAAGGATTTTAAGGATTTTCTAGCATTTATTGTTTGAGGAAAAAAAAGGAACCTCCAAACTTATTTGCAGATGCAAACTCTGCTTTAAATGAAGTCAGGGAATAATTTATTGCATGTGTTATAAAAAATGGCAAGAAATGTAAGAGATAAAATCTTCATCTATAATTTATTTAAACTCACAGAAATACTGCGGATGGGGCAATTTGTGCTTCTTGTCAACTGTAAAACACTACAATAACAGCAAAAGCTAACCCAGCCACAAAAAACATAGGCTAAATTCCTGATGCAAATAATTCAAGTATTTACATGTGTGCTTGCCTGCTCACATGATAATGCATATTTTGCTTGCCTGTTTTCTTTCTGTCTCAACCACCTCACTTCAATCATTGCTCCTGTTTCTCCAATCTGAAGTATGATTATTTCCATTTCAAAGAGGTGAGCTTAATTATTTATAATCAATCATTAAGAAAAACAAAATAAGCCTAACCCCTAAAATAGCCATAAAAGTATTTTGTAAATACCTATTCCGGAAACAAAACTTACTTCATTGCAAAAATACTCCTTAAGGGTCATGCTATATGTATGAGCATATCAAATCAGCATTGGGGAAATAATGGAATAAACATTAGAATAAATGGAAACTGACATATTTTTCATCAGGGTAAAAGCATTAAAATGAACAAAACTACAATTACTAAGGATCATTTCTAATAAAATAAAACATAAGAGATGATTGATAAGCAACTTGATAAACGTTTAGTCATATAGCTAAATTCAAGTTTGTTTAAATATAAATAACATTATTAATTTCTAACACATCTGTGCTAAAAATGAGGGTATGGCTTCTAAAGACAAGGGCAAAGCTGGTCAACCACCAGCCTACTTGCAGCAAGCAAAGAAGATAAGAAAACAAGCAACTGATTCAGACACTGAAAAATGACACATTTTCATTTTCAAAACTCCCAACATAAATTGCAAGTTTCTTTCATCCTTTAACAATTATCATCAGATACATTGTTACAGTCCACGGGGAGTTAAAAAAAAAATGTCAGCACCAGTTTGGTTAAAGTGCATGAGTTTGGGAACAAAATAAAGAATAAAAGAGTCGCCCGTACTGTTTTCTTTCACAAAGCCTCAACAACACACTAATTACGAAATACTCAAGAAGTATGTCAATCTTAAAAGGGAAAAGGGGAGAAGCATGAGAGAAATGCACGTTACCAAACTGCCTCTGCAGTCCTTAGGGAACTTGTAGATCGGGATCTTGGCTTCATGATAATGCTCATTTTGAAAAATAAAAATAAAAAGGAAAATAAGTCTTCAATTATTCTGATTAATACATTTCAACTGTCTGCAAAGAAGATTTTAAATATATTCCATTTCCAAGGGGAGGCTGCTTGAAGAAATCCAATTTTCCTGGAGTCCACCTCCTGTCCTCGGTCCAGCTCATGGGCAAGGTTCTAACACGCAGGAGCACTTTCTTCCTTCATACTGAATTTACTCCAGGACTAGGCTGTTAGGAAGTGACAGTTTCTGTTCTGTCTTGCAATGCCAAGAGAGGTACTGAATTCTGAATTGATTCTTCATCTGGGTCACAAGGGAAACCAGCATAGTGAAAGAGTCACTTGATCTCTTTTTTGCAATTCCATAATAACTGATTTAAAGGTTTCTAACACTGAAAGTGCGCAGGTAGAGAGAAAAGAAAAGAAAATGACCGGGAGGCACGGTAACACGGGAGAGCTGTCAAGGAAGTTCCACTTCAGGGCAAGCACAGGAAAACACTCTTCTCCATGGAGCACAGAAGTCAGGCAAGGAACAAAGCTCTCTACACTTCGGTTGGGTGGGCTGATTTACCTACAAAAGTAATTTCTGTGTGTCCCTGCTTAGAATCCAGGGCTTTGTGAATGAGAACTATCGTTCAGTCTCACCAGGCAGAAACTATTCCTCAAGGGCTGTATGACGTCTGTAAGACGGCAGTTCAAAACACCGCAGGGCAGTGAGAAAGGAAAAAAAAAAAAAAACACAACCCAGAGCCCAGCCCAGCCTCCTCAATTGCTGAGACTTACAAAGCAAAGGGGCGGATCAGCTCCATAGACCAGCACTGTAAACCCGCCAAGCAGACAAGGGACCTCACAAAACTTATAAAACCATTTCCTTCTCTAGGAAATGAGGTGTCTGTGTTATTCTGAGTAACATTCCATAAGCACCTTTATAAGGAACACACCCCTTGTCATTAAGTTATTTACCGTAATAAACAAATGTATTTTATAAAAGTCATTAAAAAAAAGTACCTCACAAAACACTAGAACTAAAATTTCTCTTTAGAAGCAAAGTTGACAGAACTTGACTTAGCAGCTGTTCATTTTGAGTGGATGTAATGAAATGCCATGCTTTGGAGTTGGTTGCAGAGATGTAAATTACCTCTTAAAAATTCAGCAGAGTATAACATGCACCCTTGGATCAGGACGTGCTGGAATTTTAAATTGAAAAATCTAATGTATTATTCCCGGACAAGTGGCTGCACGTATTAAGGCTGTTCCCTTGCACAATGTTTTCTAAACTTTATTTATTTTTAAATAATAATATGCAAATTTCATTCATCTCTACACACAAAGACTCTGGGTTTGCTAATCCTTAACAGCTCTTCAGTAAGGAATGAAGCTTTATATCTTGTCAATATCTCTTATTATTCTGAAGCCCAAAACCTGTCCTACCTCCTAAATAGAAAACAAAATCTTTTCTATTACAGTGGATATAATCTAAGCTGATTCCAATTGCTCCTAACAAGGAATGGCTGACCACCCTGACTATCTCTCTGACTATCTGCACAGAGTATATATACTTCAATTATTTTGGATGTGAATTACCAAGTGAAAATAATGTAAGCATTCTGATCACTTAAATGACATTAGTTAGTACGTTGGTTCTTTAGTCTGACGTGAACTTGGTATTTATTTAGCATTTGCAGACAGGATGTTGGAGTGCAGTTGTGACCCACCCAAACAACTTGGAAAATTAATGTAGTAAGGCATCCGCCAGAGGCTGTGGCTGCTTCTTACAACAAACCCTTCATCTGCTCCTCTGGTCACACTTCAAGGTGCATTTGTGACTTAGTCTTCTTTCAGTGACTCTGAGGCCTCTTAGAGTAAATGCCAATAAATTGCTTTCCACATAGTTATTCCCTTAAGCTTTTCAGTTTTCTTATGACTGCTGGAGGACAGTCACACTTTCTTAGCACTGTCCCATGTCTAGTTTATTGCTGGCATTTTAAAGCAGGTTAACTAATCCCGTATTTTTTAGAAACTTGAAAGGTTTGTGAGACTAATCATTTTTAGGGGAGGGGGGACTTAGAGAAAGAGGTTTAATTTTTTTCTCATTGGAATCTTGATGTGGGAAAAGCAAGAACAAAAACAAACCAAGTAAAATTAAGCAACTACTATTTATTTGAAACACTATTCTCTCCATGTAAGGTCTACCAAATAGCTTCTGCCATTTCAGAAAGCAAATGACAATGATCAGAGAATGTAATGTCTGAATGTTGAGTTTTCAACTCTCCAGAAATAATCGGCCTGTGTTCTATTGTCCCCCCAGTTCCGTGTCCTAGTGAGATTATTTAGCCTGATGCCACTCTCTTCTCTGTCACACACACACAAGAGGTTAGCGCAGCTTCATGTGCTCTTCCTTGCTTACTTGGCCAACATTCTATATCTTCCAAGAATATTTCTCTGAAAACCCAGCACATTTATTGGGCATCTACTACATACTGCATAATGACTAATAAGTTGTCCCTCTGCCCCTGCAAAAACAAAGTTAAATGGGGAATCTGATAATGTACGGAACTATCCAGAATACTCAAAGCTTTTGGATTGGTACATCAAGGTTGCCATTACAGAGAAAGAAAGATGCACTATGTTGAAGGGCATTGAGATTTAGATTTAAATTTTGCTTCTTCTCCTAATATTTAAGGTACTGACAGAATAAATAAAACCAAGTAGTATGTATGTGATGTTACAGCATTTTCTCCACTGTAAGACAACATTCACATGAACATCTCCAAAGGAATCTTTTGTGATCTAAGCATCCTGTAGTTTTCCCTCTGAAAAGCTTCCCAAAATGGAAAAGATATGGCACTTCCCTCCAAATTCCTGTTAGCACACAAACATATAATGGCAAGCAGGCTAATGAAGAGGCCTGAATACGGGGAGACTGCATTTAGGAACCACGTGGCCCATGCTTTTGATCCAGAAGCTGTGAGTATTTCTCAGTATTTCCCTGGTGCACTGAATCGTATAATGTATGGATTTGTTACTTTCCGGTTGCTACCACATTTCGATAGATTGTACCATAGATGTGTATGTCCACTGGGTTATCCATCTGCAGAGGTTTTGTTGAATCAAACGACTATGTAGTTAGATGTTACTGGAATTTCAGTCATAACACCACCTCCGTAACTTTTTCCATATTAGCATTCCATTTATACCATGAATTCATATTTTTCTCCATTGACCTACTTTTAAAAAAAACTAAATTTAAGAGGTAACTTTATATTTATTCTGTAATAGGTTTAATACACTGATATAATTTTCCCCCAAAATACAAGTAAATGTTAATAGAAAAAAAAAGAGTCCAAAATAATGCCTAAAGTCTGTCTCACACCACTGGTGGTGCCCCGATACAACTTGGGCCACACTTAGAACATGTCAGTGGCATACAGGTAGATTGTGTGCACCCTAAAATGTGATTTCTCTTTCTCTTATCATTCAATGGTGAGCATGACTTATGAGACTTATGACATTCATCCATGAATTAAGCATTAACTGAAACCAATTGAATGAGACGTTAGGGAGTAATTTTACTATATAGCCCAGGTTCTCTCAAGTATTACTACTTTGAAATATCCTGCCTACTATGAAATCTTCTGTCCTCTAAATTCCTATTTTCAGATAACAATAGATACTCTATACTTTCCAATCTCTCACGAGCATATTTCTTAGAACCATATTATATAACAACTAAATATTCAGGCCTCTCAAATATGCTTCAATTCAGTACACCACATATGTCAAACTATTTAGCAAAAAAGATCACGGGACTGCAGTTTTTACAGCTTCCTGCTATTCTATATTGTACTCTAACATTAATGAGAACAAATCACTTTGAACTCCTGTAACAGTTCCTCATTATTGAGAAAATATTATGGTACTTTCTTATCTAGAAGGGAATTTTGAGGCAATTTTTAGAGATTTCTTTTATCTTATTACACTTTACTAGGATACAATTGGATTCAAGGACTTTCCTACTAGCATGAACTTTGCTTGGAGCTACATTCCTGCATTTCCAAAGAAGAAGTCCAGAGTACTACATTTTGAAGGCTTTCCTACCTTCAGATTTCCTACGTTTTTCATAAACTGTCAGGTTAGGATAATAATCATCACTACTATTAATTACCTAGGCAATTACTTAGGAAATTATTAATTACCTAAGTGCTAAGTACACTATCTTACTTATATATCACAACATACCTCCAAAGTAGATGTGATAATAATAATTTTATACATAAAGAAAGCCAATAATTTGTTAAAAATTTTTGGACCCAGGTATATTTCATTCCAAAGCTTGCTCTCATGATGTGTGTGTGTACATGTATGTACATGTGCGTGTGTGTGTGTGTGTGTGTGTGTGTGTGTGTCTAAGGCAGAGAGAAAGAAAAGAGGAAGAGAGAAAGATTAAAAAATGCTACCAAGTTTTTGGAAGTTTTTAAAATTCATCCATCCTCTTTAGTTGGACAGTGGCAATAAATGAATATAATAAAAATGGTGCATGTATATTACTAGTATAATGATAAACATATATAACAGCCAGAAAATTTTAGAACATTAAGATATACAGGATTAAACAATCTAACTTCACTGTCCTTGTCTCTAATTTTAAGGCATGAACTTTTAGGTATCACAAACACTGTGATCAGGCATATATGACAACATCATGAGTTTGTTACCCATAAAGTGTGATAAGGTCTTTGACCATCTCACAACGTGACTCATGGTAGTTTGCTGTTACCTAAGCAACAGATGACATTTTGATTGCCTTATTAGATAATACTGGTTAACAGATGATCATTTTAAAAGGTAATAATACGTGAGACCTCTGGTACTATATAAATTTCAATATTTGTCAACAAATTACACTGGCTATTATAAGGTACAGAATACTAG